CACTCGCCCCGCGCCGCCGCAAGTACGCGCACGTGCGGCCCAACAAGCGCGACGCGGTGGCGCTGCCGCACCCTGGCCAGAGCTACAACCCGTTCGACGACGACCACCAGCAGGCGCTGCGCACGGCGGTGCGGAAGCTGCAGCGCAAGAAGGCGGGGGACGAGAAGTTCGTCGCGATGATGACGCGCGGCCGCGACATGGCGCTCAGCGGCAACTTCTCCGCCGACAAGACGTGGGAGGAGGAGGTGCAGGAGCGGCCGCAGCGCAAGAAGAAGAGCAAGGCCGCCGCTGACGCGGAGCAGAAGCAGCAGGACGGGAAGGAGGATAAGAAGAAAAAAAAGAGGCAAAAGAAGAAGAACAAGACAGCCACAAAGGCGTCGCTCCAGGCAGCCAAGCGCGCGCTGCCGCACCGCCGCCACCCGAAGCGTGAAGTCGCCGTCGCGGAGGCTGAAAAGCTCGACGAGTTGTTAGCGGCGCACCAGAAGCGCGAGACGGAGCGGACGGCGGCGCGGGAACACCGCCGCGCGGTGAAGCGGTCGCAGCTCCAGGTGAAGAACTTTGGCCGCCACCACCACACGCCGCTTGCCCTCGACGTGGCGCCGAGCGAGAAACTGGTCGGGTCGCTGCGGCACCTCAACGGAAGTTACGTGCACCCCGTAATGGACCGCATGAAGTCGCTGGAGGAGCGGAACCTCGTGCCGGCGCGCATGAGGCACAGATACAACAAGCGGAAGGTGCTGAAGCCGAAGGGTGAGGTGCGTGTGAAGCGTGAGACGTTTGGCATCTTGCCGGAGACGAGTTTCTAAAGCAAAGAAAAGCTCTGAGTGAGTGTTCGGGAAGGAGACTTGACGGCAGCAAGTGTTGGGTAAAGCGATTAAGGTGTCATGGTGTGTGTATGCCTCACTGTGTCTCGTTCTTTTTCCATATATATATTTTCTCTCTCTTTCTCTCCCTCCGTGCGTGTGTGTGTGTGTGTGTGTAAGACACCACACTACACATGGCATAACGGTGTGGCATTGATCAGTGCGTGGGAATGTCACTGCGGTTTTTTTTGTTTCTCTCCTTCTCCTCCTCTCATCTGCTCTTGGTGCATCGGGGAAGAGCAATAGGTACATTATACATTGCGTCAGTAGCAAAGATCGGGGTAAAAAAAAAAGGTGTGAGAGAGAGAGTGTGTGTGTGTGTTAGAGCGAGCAAGAAGGGGGGGAGGAACAAACGGGTGTAAAAGAAAAAAGAGCAAAAAGTGTCTGCAGAGTGGAGAGGGAAGGAAAAAGACGAAGAGTTTCGCTCGACAACCACACTGTGATAAATGAGCTTCCTGGTGAAGACGCTCCTCGGCGAGGGCGTGGTGCATCCACCGGAGCACCCCAAAGAAGCATCCGCTGCGGATCAAGAACAGCAGCAAGATAAGCAGCGGGTTCCGACACGCACGCTCATTCTCCGCGTTCAGTCCTGCACAGTGGCGCAAGACAGGCGCGATGCGCTGAAGGAGCTGCAAGCCTGCACCGATCTGCCGTACGTCATGGCGGCAAAAGAGGTGTCGTACCTCTGCAGTATGCTTCGAAATTCCCCTGACGATGAGGACATTGTGGAGTCTTCCCTCACTGTTCTCTCTAGCATCACTGACCTGGCTAGCTACCCCGCCGGCTCCTCCGTCTACAACGTGTCGGAGAAGGAGAAGCGGCGCATACGCGATTCTTTTCTGCATGAGTTGGTTGCGGAGGTCCCGCTGTTCCTGAGCCACGTCAAGGAGGGTTCCTTCTGGTCACGCTTTCACGCCGTGCAGATGCTGCAGCGGCTGCAGGAGTACGATCCCCCCGCTGTGCACAAGCTGTTGCTCTCTTCCCACGGCATCGGTGTGCTTGTGGACATTCTCAATGACGGCCGCCACGGCGGGGCTCTGCGCAACGAGGGGCTGGTGCTCTTCACGGCCATCACCGCCACCGACACAGAGCTACAGACACTTTTGGCGTTTGATAACGCCTTTGAGACACTCTTCATGGTGGTGAAGGAAGAAGGCGGCCTCGACGGCGGCGTCGTTGTGTCCGACTGCCTCACCATCACGCACAACATGCTGCGCAACAACAAGGCGACGCAGAAACTTTTCTGTGAGATGGGCTGCGCCCGCCTTGTATGCACATTGTTGGAGGCCGTGCCAGAGCGCGTGCGGGACGTCATGCGCCACGGTGCGTTACGCAAGAATCAAAGCGCTGGTGACGCAAGCGACATGGATCTCGCCTTCACGCCGCTAAATAATTTGCAGAACGTAGTGGTCCTTATGGCTGTCTCCATCATCAGCTGTGTGCTGCGCGGGGTAGAGGCACACCACGACGGACCAGCAGCGCAAGAAGCGCTCCTGCAAAGTGGTGTGCTCGAGCCGCTGGCGTCTCTCGCCCTTGGTGGTGTGGCTGTTGACGATGCAGCGCGTCTGGAGGCGTTGCGGGCACTTGCGGCGCTCCTTCAAGAAAAAAGAGTGGGGATAGAGAAGTTCACGCAGCTTCGTGTCGTGACGCTGCTCCGGGGTGAAGCTCCAATACGGGTGGAGGAGTGGTCGGCACCGCGTGCCCTGCTGCATGTTATGCTGGAGGTGGAGGATAGAGTCATGCAGTCTGCCGCCGCGCATGTGTTTAATGCGTTGCTAAGTGTGGCTGTGTGTGAGGGGCGTGTTGCGGCACTTCTTTTGAAGGGGTTCGCCCCCCCTGCCTCCGCTTCCGTCGACGCGGCGTCAAGGTCTGCACTAGTGGGCGACTGCGGTGCAGCAATAGCCAGCGCTCTTTTGAGCGCTCCACCGCCCACCGGCTGTAGTGGAAAGTACTACGCTGCACTGTTACTGGATCGTCTCTTGTCGGTGCCTGCTGCTGCTGAGCAGCTGCTTGTGCCGGGGCAGCGGGAGACGGCGGCCGAGGGGGCGCATCCCCCGGTAAACTCTCTAGTGTCGACAGGAGGGAGTGATGCATTTCTTGCGTACGTGCAGTATGCTATCAAATGCCTCCGTGGCCACGGCGAGATGGATCTCAACACCCTCAGCGCCTGTTTCAGATCTCTGCTGCGGTGGGTGCTCAACAGCAGGACGGCCGCACAGATTTTTCTAAGAGACTCCACGAACTACCGGGCCCTCTTGCAACGCGCAGGGCAAGACGACGGCCCAGTACATATTCGGTTTTGGTCTGCTGCACTCTGTGCTGCCTTGTGCGTTGTCACCCCGCGCGATTTCCCAAAAATGGCGCATGACGCTGCTGTGGCACTCGACAGTATGAAGCAGGCTGGGGAAAGTGGAAGTAGTGTGAGTGGTGGCTCATCATCTCTGCGCGAGAAGCAACAACTGTTGGAGCTATTTATCAACTCTCTAGGTGGTCCACGTATCTTCGACAGCTTCCTATTCGACGCAAAGGCCTCTAGTCCCGCGTGGTCAGACCCGCCGAAAAGCGCTTTCCTGCGTCCTACCCCCGTCCTTTACGATGAAGGCATGAAGAACATCCTGCTGAAGATCATCAAGGAGTTCAACAATATTTGCCCATCGTCTGGCAAGATGCCGGAGCCACAGTCTGTGTCGGCGGAAGAGAACGCTGCATCATGGCACTCAGGAGCCACTGCCACGACTGATGTTACTGCTCTGACTGCCTTAAAGAATGTGCCGTGCCCCCAACAGCCTCCCAGCACTGGCCGTTACGCCGACCCTTTCTCGGAGGGGCCCTCGCCGTCGACGGTGGATCCATCCGGAGCGTATGGTGACGCAGGATTCTCGCCGATGACGTCATCGCCACCCCCGCCACCACTACCTCCTATGGAGGTGGTACAATCGATAAAATCCTCCTTTGAGGGTGACAGTGCCTTGCGCGAAGCATATGAGGCCAAGGTGAAGGCGCTAACAGAAAGGAATGCCGAATTGGAGCGCGAGCTGCAACTTCTGCGTGATCGTGTTAACTTCGACGCTTTACAACGTGAGGCAGACGATGAGCGGGAGCGGCAACATGCCGCGGAAGTAAGCAGTTTGAAGGAGAATATTAAGCTGTTGGAAG